TAAACCATTATCCATTAGGCAATCAATAGTTTTGGCAGTATTGATAATTTTATACAGGAGAACAAACCACAAAAATTAAATTTTTTTAGCCAACCCGCGAGCCAATATTTCGAGCTAACCAACTCGCGAGCCAACCCACTGGCATCATTTCGAGCTAACTCGCGAGCTTTTTTTGAGCCAACCCGTGAGCCTTTTTACGAGCCAACCCGCGAGCTGATTATCGAGCCAACCCGCGAGCCAACCCTAACCCAGCTCGGGTCGAGCCGGGTTGGGTTTTCTGGCTCGTTTTTTTCAAGCCAACCCGACCCGACCCGTTTTTTTCGGGCTTAATGCGGGTTGGGCCGGGTCGAGCCGGGTTGGCCCGTTTTGCCAACCCTAATTTCCACACTACATAGTTCATTGAAAACTAGTATGGGTTCCAAGATCATAAAGTTCTTAGGGACTTGGGTTTGTTTTGTCATCAATTATTACCCTCGGCAGGGGACCAAATTCCATTCTTGATGGGTTATTATATTCAGATATAGCTCCAGATTCCATAGCAATAGGAATTTCTAGATCATAATTGCAGTCAAACATGGTCTTATCATTGCAAATTACTTTGGAATTAGAGTGTGCAACTCAGGTAGAAGTAAAATAATCTTTATTGATTATGGGATGAAGAGACTCCAAACCATAGGTAAATTTGCAATCTGCATTTTTTAATCAATATTTTGGCATGGAGAAGGTTCTATAGCCCAAACATATGCCCAAACCATAAGTATATTATATTATATATATATATGGAAATATATTTCTACAGGCACTTTAGATAAGCTTGTCTACAGCTATCCCTTTTTAACTAAGTATGACCGGTCATACTTTAAAATTATATTTTCTCTCTCTGCCACGTCAGCCGACAGTGTCTGAGGAGAGAGAAAAAAAGAACAACTTTATTGTTATAACTAAGTATGACCGGTCATACTAAGTATAACTAAGAACAACGTCAGCCAAAATATTGATGGATGACGTTTTTGTGTTCTAAAATAGTAATTCCAAATCTGAAAAACGTTGGTATTATCCCCCAATTTATGATTATGTAACCACCACATAATGATGTATTGAATTGTACTTACTTCCTTGTTAATGCATATCCTATATAAGATATGACTTCTATGTAAATGTAATGATGAATAAGAATGAGGTTTTATCCTACTTCTGTGTCTCTTTTCTTTTCTCGTACTTCCTCCCATTTTTTTTATTAATAACCTCTACCAACCAAACAAACCCCCCACCGCCTAATCTAAATCTATACACCCGATTTAAATATATGCTATTTTCTTTCAAATCAAAACCTCTTTTCTCTTCCCAAGATTCCTTGTTTGAGTAACTTGTTGCAATTTTCCTCAAAGTCGTTGTTATGGCGGTTGATCACTTTCTTCGTAGCAAAAAGGGTATCTCATCTCAAATCACGTGAGTAGTGGTTAACAAAGCGTGATTTATCTAGGTTTGGACTTGGGCTTACTGATCAAAAGAAATCAAATCTTGTGAGAAGGAGGAAACACTTTCATCAATTTGTGCAGAATACTAGTATGCCATTTTGATATCAGTTAATTATTATCATTATTTTTTTTATTAGAAATTTAAGAAAATACATTTTTCGAGTTTAAAGTAATCTTTAAGTTATCTTTGATGATAAATAAATAGTAAATAGCCCTCCAGACCAGTTGCTATGGTTAAATTTGTCAATGAGAGGGCAGAAGTGAAGAAAGAATAGTGGTGATAAATAAATAAAATAAAAATTAAAGAACCATTATTCACGTGCTTCCATCCGTGTGGCTCTTTGATTGGCCTTATTCACTATTTTTTATTGTTTTAATTATGATTGGCCTTGTTATTCACAGGCATTGGAGTTATTTTCATGTAGCTTTTGCAAGAGTTTTTTTTTATAACCTTATAATTAGAAATGAGTATTTGACAATATGTATCCAATATGCTTAATATGGCGAGAATTTTACAGTCAATCAATCTTATGTAGCTTCTGTTTATCTTACAATTATGTGTGCCTATAGTGAAATAGCAACTTAAGATATTGTTTGTTGTCTTATATTGCTTAATTACATGATTGTTGATAAACATATGCACCTATGTATTCTAGCTATTCAACGAACTGGTCTTATGATTGCATGCAATTTATATGGATACTTGATCTAAAAAGAAAAAGAAAATTATGTGCTTAATGAGTATTTTAGTAAGGAAGTATATCTTGCAAAGTTTTAGCAGGGAGAAACTATTAGATAACTTTAATTAAAGTACTGAATCTATGAGAAATTTAAAAAAAAGGGAAGGTCGATGGCATATAAAATTATTTTTCACAAAATTCTTAATAAATAAAAAATTGTTCTAAAGATGACAATTTTGTTTATGTATTAGAATATGTGCAATTAATTTTGCCTTTTATATTTCTATTAATTTTGTGTTAAAAAAGGCAGTTACAAATTATTTGCCATCAATCAAATTTAACTTTTGGAATGAATGAGAAACTGTTGGAGTATTTTGTGTATACTATATTTTATTTCAATCTATCCAGTAATATTCTTTTAATTGAATGCAAATAAAACATAATAATGATATGCAAATAAATGCATTCTTTTAATTGAAATTTAACTGTTAATTAAATAATCGTTACAATTGTTTTATATATGATTAAATCTCATAACCGTTACTGTTTTCTCATGCATGGTTAAATGTTATTCAATAATTTAATGCATGAATTTGTAAGTTGACATAATTATGCATATGTATTAAATGATAAAATAATGATTATTATCATTGTGGTTTTGTGATTTTTATGATTGAATGCAATTGTGTCGGTTATTGATTAACATTATTAATGATTATTGTAATCGAACATTATAATTTTTATATTTATTATTATTTTGAATTGACCCCTTTTTCTTTTGAGTAAAGAAAATACATGTGATGAACATTTATAATCTTGATTTATTTTGAAAGCACATCAAATATAAAATTGTGTATGCAATGATTTTATGGTGAAAGACTCTTAAAAGATGAAGATTGTTTTTATAATATTTTAAAAGTTCTGAAATAATTTTAGGATGTAACATAAATTTGATAGCATTTAAAATGAGAGTTGGTTTTTGTTCGAATTGATTGTTATAGATATAACATTTGAAATGATCGTTTGAATCTCATATAGATGAATTTTAGACCCGTTGGTTTAAAAGCATTGTCTGAAATAAATGTCAAATCTATGAAAGATCTCTAGATATTTTGAGGGAGCACATATAATGATATAACCCTTTAAGAAATAATAGAAAATCCAAATTGGATCAAATCATGAAAGAAGCCAAACGAAAGTGGCTAATAAAATGAATATGGGCAAGTATATATGAATCTCAGGCCATTAAAATTAATCTCACTGTTAAGGCTTATAATATCTTTGTTGGTTATTGCTCCTGAGGTAGCAAAATCCGAATTATTTTTGCATATATACAAAATGATATGTGATGCATGTAATCACACATATTAATATGGAAGAAGCCAATTTCAATACAATAATTTGCAATATAAAAATTAATTAATAGCTCTAGAAGAGCTAATGTGTGATTACTAAGGGGGATCAAGTTGGCTATAAATAATATCACGTTGAGACCATAGATGGTGGTAAAATTGAATATTATTACAAATATTGCAGGTAAGAAATGTGTATCAAAAGAGAAAAATTACCTATTTTTCTCTGGATTTGTACTACATTAATATTCGCATGATTGAAAAATATATGCCTTGGTAAATCAAAAGGATATTGATTATAATAACTTTATTATTTGGCATGACCGGTTGGACCATCTCGAATCAAATGTGATGAGAAAAAGTTATTGAAATTCATATGATCGTGTATTGAAGAACCAGAAGATTCTTTAATTTATTGAATTTTCATGTACTGCTACATTAATTATCACCAGCTAAAGTTGAGATTCAATCTCTTGTAAGGGTGAAATATATGGGCCTATTCACCCATCATGTGAACCTTTCAAATATTATGAATATAATAGATGCATCTATAAAATGGCCACATGTTTGTCTATCTTAACATTTGTGAGATTGTTAGCTCAAATGATAATATTAAGAGCACAATAAAGATAATTCATCTTCATAATGCTAGTGAATTTATATATTAGCATAATTATTTATTAAATGTCTTCAATTGATTGCTAGAACATTGCCTATGAGAACAAAGCTCCTTATTTTTGCATGGGGATATGCTATATTTTATGCTACAGTACTTGTACGCATCATGCCAATAAGTTATCGTCTCCTCATTACATTGGCTTATGCTATATTTTTTATGTGCGTTTTATATTCTAATTACTCCACCACAATGTACAAAAATGAAACCAAATATATTTGGAAATATATATTGGTATGAATCTCCTTATATAATATCTTGAAATAATGACTGGAGATTTAGTGAATTATTATTATCAGTCTAGTCTTTCCAACATGAGAGGGAGAGAATAAACAGTTGAAAAATATAGAATGCATTATTATTATCTTATATAGATCCTCGCACAAAGTAAATATGAGAAAAAATATTATATATCGACTGCCAGTTGATTTCACTGACCAATAAGTCTAATATTCCAACTGTAATGCTCCAATTCATATTGTGTATGGAAAAATGATCGGTTCCAAAGATAAAAATCTTTGGGGAGAGGAAATGAGTAAATCATGAATTCATTACAAAAGCATGAAACACTCACAGCTCAAAAAGAAAAAATAACCCATGCACTAAAAACTGAACTATTAGTCAATAACTTACAAGCATGATTCCAAGAAATTTATTAAAAAAAACCCATTCCAAACAATAATTGGTTAAGGAATTTGTTCTCCTTAATCAGAAATTTATGGACTAATTGGGTTTTCAAAAAAAAAAAAACCAAAATAGACGAAATGAACTTAACAAGTGCATACATACACCTTGGGATCATTAATTCATGTACATGTGAATCCTAATAGCTAACAAGAAGATGCATATGAGACCAAAGTAGAGGACAGAGTGGACCAGTATTGATAGTCCACTAGTTTGGAAGTTGCCAAACTCTACAATCCTGTTTCTCCCAGGTATCTGGACCAGTAGCCCAGGAGTTAGGAGAATGAAGAGCACCACTGACACAAAAACTGGCCCCCAATCTTGCATCTTCTCCTCCTTCTCTCACTCTCTGTACTTGGGGGTCTCTTTCACTATCTATTTCAATTGTGGTTGCAATTGCAATTGACAATAATGAATGCAAATGGGACTTAAAAAAAGGAATTGGGGTGGAAAGTGGGGACTTTGGAAGAAGAGACAAGCAATTGATGACATGGGAAAAGCAAAGGTTGTGGAATCAAGCCATTCTGATTCATTTTGTACAACTCACACCCACACGCACGGCACCAAAACTAAAAGGAAGCTTCATCCTTGTAAGGTACATTGAGGGGTATTTATTGCCTTAAACCATGGTTTTAAATTGCATTTACAGTCACAGCTGAGTTGTGATTCTTGTTGTATGGTGCGGCAGAATGAATTTTTTTTTTTATTTCTCGAATTAAAATGATCATATCTTCTCAATTATTTATCATAGGAAGATTATATTTATAAATTTTTTGTTTACAAACTACACTAAGTATGACCGGTCATACTTCAATCAAGAGTGTCTGATCGGTCATACTTAGTGTTATTTGTAAAAAAAAATTGTAAACGAATCTTTTTCCCATTTATTAATAGATTAACGAAATAGCTGATTAATGATCAGTAATTAAAATGTTCATTTTTTTTTTCTGTTTTACAAAATTTGTCATTAAAATTGTAACGGATGATCCGTCATTCAATAACTAAGAAAATTGAGACGTGATGATATTGAAATGGAACATAAAATAATATGGGTAAAGTTACTATCATGTAACATAACCTAACCAATTTTTCCTACTCAAAGAAAGATGCATGTAGGTCCCATACATATAATAAAAACAAAAAATAAAAAATGCTAGTGCGGAAACCAATGTATGAGTGGGTAAATTTTTTTATATCATGTTACATAATATTAGTTTTTCCCAAATAATATATTCCATTTCTCACATGTTTCGGACGACAATTTAGTGCATGACATGATGTATAAATATAGTTTTAGATATTATTCGGTGTTCAAAATTCTAACAGATTCAATTAATTCGGTTTATATTCTAATTAATTTATATTTTTCCCTCGTAACTAAATTGACCTGACCCATGTGTGGGCCTAAGTACACGTAGGCATGCTTCAATTAGATGTGTGCCTTGGTGGATGATTACGCGATGGATAAGATTATAGGAAGCTGATGTATCAAATAAAGTAGCTTTAAGGGATAAATAAATTAGTTTAATGACGAATTATATCACAATATGCATATAAAAAGAAAGTGAAAAGACAATTTGGAAAGATGCTTGCTTTTGGTAGCTATTTTGATTTGAAAGAGTAAGGAAGGACACTTTTTGATTACTTACAAGCTAAACATTCGAATTCGACATTATATACAAAAATTAGAAAAAGAAAAGGACAATTAAGTATATCCGACCGGCCAAGCAATCTGTATGGTGAAGATTCCATCTGGGTTGCATCAATAGCAAGTTTCATGTACTCAAATAATTTGTAATAAAATAAATAAATTGAAAAGGTTTTGTTTCAGTTAAATATTCATGCTACTTGTTGAATCTTGTTATAAGAAATTTTTTACACAAAGGCACTTTTACACACATTTAAAAAAGGAAAAAAAAAAAGAAGACAAATTAAGTTACACAATAAAGCATTGAAAGAACAAGGGATGGATATAAAGTTAAAAACGAGAAGATACTAGGATTAAAATAACCCAAACTGTTTCTTTCCTATCCATAAAATTAGGGGGGGGAAAGTCCCTTTAAAATAAGCATACCAGGGCAACCCCCCAAGTTTTCCAGAATTGGGCTGATCATCTTTTTTGTGTAGAGAATAATTAATTAATTTGGACTCTATAAAACAGATTAGGCCATTTGGGCCGTGCATTTAGAAACCCATATTTTTGTCAGTATGGACCAACCCGATTTTATATTTGTAGATAATGCTAGCCTTAAGTATAATACTGCGCTAGTTCTGTTACTCAAATAATATTGAAGCGTAAATTTTTCTTTAATAATAACTTATGCACTATGTATAAAAATAAAAATAAAAAACTTGTGCATCATATATACAATGTATTGTACAAAATCTTAAAAGTTTTAACGTATTTGAGTATATATAACCAATAAATTCTCACTTTCAAACGCTCAACTTTTATTTAATAGATAAAGGATTGGATGAAACGAGCCATCCAATACACAGAAGTCACAGAATTACATAACCTGGCTCTCTATTGCAGTCCTACTCAGCTCAAGATGTATTAATCGGATAATTGATGAACAAATGAAAAAATCTAAAACAAAAAATATGGCAACTTAAAGAGGAATAAGTAAAAAAAACAAGAACACATTCAAAGATACGTTACGATTGGTTTATGGATCCCACACAATTTCTTTGTCCTATAAGAGAATCTCCAAAGACAAGCAACCGGTGAGAGTTGAGACCATAACTTTTCCTTACGTGTGAAAAAAAAAAAATTGCGTCGACAGCAGGGTTCGAACCTGCGCGGGCGTAGCCCAACAGATTTCAAGTCTGTCTCCTTAACCACTCGGACATATCGACAGCCCTGGTGCTAAAATCCTGTCATATATTTGATATAATTATTTGTTTTTCCAAAGCAACGTCAGCTGACAACACTTTATATCAGAATTTAGGAGTTTGGAAATAAGATTTTAATAAATTCCAAATCACTCCTAGGCATATGGTATAATTAAAATTTTCTGAAATAATTCCATGAAATTGTCGATTATGTTTTTTTGGGTGATACTCAGTTGATTGATAATGATGTCCACCAGTTTTGCTCTTAAAAGAAGCGTAAATAAGAAGATTAACCTTCCCATCATAATGAAAAGCACATTGGTTTTTTTTTTATCAAGGTTGCAGCCCACGCGCAAATCTGTATCTTTTATTGTATTACACAACACAAATGAGTTGAACAAATTTAGAATAATGGATTATGTATATTACAAGACTATATTCAACAAGTATAAAGTTGTACAATATATAGAGAAATTAATGAGCTTAAAGGACAAGTCCAAAACTTTAACTCAAATTATAATTGTTGGGATATTCAAGGATAATGACTATGATACTACTGTTAGGCGGGTCCAAGAAGGAGTCCGTGGTGAAAAACCATTACCAATGGGCTAAACTAGACCGATCACACCAAGTGGGTTTAACACAATGTCACAACCCAAAATCTTAAGGTATTAGGTTCATGGGTCCTCCAGCTTATATCGACTTCACTTAACCCATTACCAACCAACGTGAGTCTAATAACACTTGAATATCCTAACAATTTTCTCCTCAAGTGTGAAACCCCACATTAATATGCTCCCCCTCAACCGAGTACTCAGACTCAAAGTACTCAACTCGCCTCTAAGCAAACACCAAGCTAGATTGAGCCCAACCCGGCACTAATACCATTGTCAAGCGGTCTAGGAGAAGGCCGTGGCGGGGGACCACCACCAATGGCTAAGTTAGACAAATCACATCAAGTGGGTCGGACACCGTGTCACATCAACTTCTATGCACTTCACTTAGCCCATTACCAACCAATGTGGGCCTCCATCACACTTGAATATCCCAACAGTAATAAAATAAGAAAACTAATATCTATAGATAATTATATGATTATTTACAGATATTCTAATAATTGTAACACACCATCAAGCTGAAGCGTATATATCATACGTTCCAAGCTTGGTACAAATATAATTTACTCGCAGACTTCTGAGAGCTTTAGTGAAGATATCTGCACGTGGATCATTGGAACTAACAAATGTTGTCTCGATCTCTCTACGTTGAATAATTTCTCAAATGAAGTGGCTATTAATTTTTATATGCTTGGTCCTCTCATGAGAGACCGGGTTAGAAGATATGTGCAATGCAGCTTAATTCTCTCAAATGAGTCTTATGGGTCGTTGTTCGCAAAGGCGTAGTTCCTTAACCAAATGAGATCATAGGCTGTAGTTCTCATTGCCCGATATAAGAAATTATTTTCACAAAGATACTTTAACATACATTTTTCCAAAATGGAAAAATAAGTTATGTACTAAAGCATTGAAAGAACAAGGAATGGATATAAAGTTAAAAAAAATAATATTAGTGAATTTGTGTGGATTAAGAACTAGGTTTATATCTTTCAAGGGGTGTAATATATCAATATAAAAGTGCTCAAAGAAGCAGTGGTATGGATCAAAGTTCAAGAAAAAAAAATCGTAACCGTTATTGCAAGATGGCTGCGATGAAAGAGGTAGTATATAGGCTGCGATGGCTCTAAAATCTAGTCGAGTAACAACTCATAAAAATATTAGGAATAAGGTGCCTCTTCTGTTCAAGAGGAAATGTTTATACAAGGGGAATGAATTTTCCTTAATAATGATGAAAGAGAGAAAAGTTGAGCCAAAATCATTAGTCATTGCTTCCACTATCACATTGAGACGCTATCTCACCATCGTGTGTACAATAATGAGCTGGGAAAAGAGAGGAGAATCTCTTGTATTAAGATTCATGTGCTCAACTAATGGACATATCTTGTAAGGGATTTTATTGAGCCTCTAGATAGTTGGCCCAACATACTAGGGACAACAACCATCTTGCCACGTTTTGGTAAAAAAATTACCAGAATACCACGCATCAATAAAAATTTACCAAAATGTCATGTCACTTAACTTGCTACAATACGTAGCGAGTTAGGTCTGCACACGTGGCAGCGTTTTTAAGGCCACATAACTCGTTATACAGTGTAGCAAGTTTGGTCAGTCAACACGTCAGTCCATGTGGCACTTTTCTAAAGAAAAGTCGTTGCATGTTCTAGCGAGTTAGGTGATGTGATATTTTAATAAATTTTTATTGGTGCATGACATTTCGGTAAATTTTTTACCAACACATTGGCAAAATAATTGTTGTCCCCAACACATTGGGCTTACGTAATCCGGCTAGAACAACTAGGATTCAATTAACCTATATTGTTTCTTTCCCATCCATAAAATTAGGGAAAAGAAATTTCCTTTAAAATTATTTATCTCTTTTTTTTTGTAATAACAATTATTTATCTTTAAAATAAGAATAAAGGGTATAACCCTCACCCCCCATATATAATTCTGCCCAAGTTGGCCCGAATTGGGCTGATGAGCAATTTTGTGTACAGAATAGTTAACTTTGGACTCTATAAAACAAGTTAGGCCATT